TGGCCAAGTGTCTTCATCTTTCATAGCTCTCCCAAAGCTACCATAAGCCATAGTATTTATCAGATCAAATGAAAGGTTTTGGGGGGCAGAGGAGGGAACTGTGGTCATACAAAAAGGTAACTTCATTCTGCTCCATAGAACAAGACTACTTTTGTTTCTTTTTCTTTCTATGAATGTATTCATGTCCTCTCTTTCTTCTTTTTTATGCCAAATTTGATAATTCCATTCAGCATTTCATTTTAGATTTCTTCCATCTCTTCCCTTATTTTGTTTTTCCTCTACTGTGCTCTCTCTGTGTCCTCTCTTATGCTAGTGTTTTTTATTCATAACAATAGCTGACTTTTATTGATGTTTACTGATTGACATTGGGCTAGGTATTTCAACTCACTGAATCTATAGAGAAATCTTATAATCCGTATTTTCAGAGAGAGAAATTGAGGCTCTGAGTTGTCAAGTGACCTTTTTTAAAGTCACACAGATTCTAAATTTTAGAATTAGATTTAGATATCATATGTATCTGGGTATGGAAACAACCTCCAGGCCCATCTTTTTAGATTCTCTTCTGTGATATATATCTATTATAGAATGTTTAGAAAAAACACGAAAGAAATGTACTTTATAAAAACCTGTAATCATCACACCCATAAAGAACAGTGCTAAAACTTTGTCTTTCTTTCTAGTACTTTTAATGCATAGTAAACAGAAAATTTTAGCACATACTATGATTTGGTGATAGGTTCAATAAATTAACATCCTTAAAAAGGCATAAAATGATGAATCTTAAAAGCAAAACATATTTGGGCCAGGGATTTAGCTCAGTGGTTCCAGTGCCTGCTTTGCAAGCGCAGGGACTCGAGTTTGATCCCTGGTATCAAAAAAACAAACAAACAAAAACAAAAAATAAAAAACAAACAAAAAAAGCAAAATATACTTTGATATCTGTAGAAAAAAACAGACTTCAAATACCTTAAAATGATATCTATAGAGTAAAACAAACCATCAACTATTATTTTGCTTTTCAGCAATGGTATGTCCTGTTAGAGAATACTTAATTGTTAAATAAAACATTTCAATTTGATCCTACGGATGTATACTAACAATGAAATGTCCTTTCTGTTTCTAGCATACAGTATTTTCTTTTAGGAAGTGCACCAGAATTTCAAAAAGTCTTCTAGAGAAAGATTTTTTTAAATCTCCTTAACAGTTTGGTTCCACAAGATGAAATTGCTTCTGATGACTATTTTAGACTTACATCTGAAAGAGCAAGCACTAAATCAAACCACCAATTTAATGATATTGATAGAGTGGGAAGAAAGACTTATGTAAATAACTTTCTAATACAATGGCTTGGAAATATAATAAAACGTATACTTTATGCTGGGACAAAATATTCCTTGAGCTTGAAGTTAATGGTATATTTCTAAGCTCCGAAGTGAACACAAGTGGTGACTTTACTCACAAAGGTTATCTATTAGTAGAAAGAGCAAATTAATTTTAAAGAGCTGTGACCCTCCAGCTAAATTCTATTTCAGGCAACTGGGAGGAAGGGAAGTTGAATGCCCTACTTTGGCTTTGACTTTGACTTTCTCTCCTTTTCACTTTAGGCTTTGAATGTAAACTCCTCCTCCTCAGTTTTTAAAAATGCAATACAATCAACTCTGAGTATCTTTGCATCAAAGACAAAATGAGGTTGAAGTCATGAACCTATCTTCACCAACACTGTAACCTCCATGGTAAAATTATAGTATAGTGACTATAAACTCCTGCTGTACATAGCAGGTGCCCTAAGAGTTTAAAATTCCATCCTGTTTACTTTCCAACAAATCCATGAGCACATCTTTGTCTCCTTTATCTGTAACTTTGTGTGTGTGTGTGTGTGTGTGTGGTACCAGGGATTGAACTCAGGACCTTGTGCTTGCGAGCAGGCAGCAGAACCACTGAGCCACATCCCCAAGTCCTGACTCATTTATTGATAGCTTCATACCTACAGTGTGTTAACAGTTTATACAGTTGATGTATTTCTCCACATTAGCTCTATGGTTCCACATCCTCCCAATCATAACAATGCTGCTTCTCTTCGTATGGGAAACTGAGGTCCAGACAAATGAGATGACCTGACTCTGTATCCACTGATACAGAGCTCAAACTCAAATCCAGACCTCTTGACTGCATATCCTGTGCTGTATGCAGTGAGGAAAAGCTGCCTACTTCATTTACATATTCAGGAACAGCCATGTGATTTAGGCTGTTTTTCTAACAATGCAGTCTACTGTATACAAATTTTTTTTTAATTCAGTAGAGTCTGAATCTATACAACCTCAGAATTTTTCTAAAATGTCAGCCACTCCCTTCTATGAAAAGCAGTGTTTTAAAATATGATTAGTATTCTGAGCGTAGGATAATGGTAAACATTATGATTTTGCATTATCATGAGATGCAAAATTACTCTCTCAAAGGACCAGCTGCTGCAGGGCGGCTGGCACTGTGCTGCCTATGTTCTCAAACTATTTTAATTGGTAGTTTTCCGGGATTTTTTTTTTTTAGTCAAAGAGGAAATGTATGTGAAACCTATTGAAACCCTACCATCTGTTATGGTAAAATGACATCACTTAGTGAAACGATCCATCCAAGTATTTAGAGGCTGCTCAGTTTTCTCATTGAGTTCAGGGTTCAATAGTTCACCTTCTCACTTAGGGATAGAAAAATTATAGACAGAAAAGGAAGACAGGAAATTGTTCTCATATTTTTATATAACATGTCAAATATGGTCCTATAATTTTGAACTAATATGTTTAACATACATGAAACTGTTCATCACATTAGATATTTGTGGTCTAAAGATGAAGGAATCTAGATTTTGAAATAGGAAGACCTGAGTGTAAATATAACCTCTGCCCAAATGGTTTATGGCTTTAAATAAAACACAACCACTAGGAATCATTTTCACCCCTGTACTGTTGGGTAGTTTTATTCCACAAAGTTAGAGAGAGAAATGAATAGTTAAACATATATTATAAGTCAATGAGTATTGCTCTGCTACTACTAACAACCATTTATTAGATTCTTACTACATACCAGGGTCTATGTAAGGACTTATAAATACATCATTCATTTAATCTTCCCCAAAAGCTTTCATACTAGATATTACTATCTTAACAGATTTAAAGATGAGACTGGAGAGGCTTAAAAAGATTTAAAAATTGTCCATAATTACACGTGTAGGAAATAGAGAACTCAGTAATTGAGCTTAGACTTATTCTTTTACTCCTTGAGCAATACTTAAGTAATGTATTGGAGCAAAACTGGACACTATTTGAAAGGAAGGACTGGAAGTGGAGAGTGGTTGTTGGGTAAAAAGCAAACCATGTTCATTTACCCTGGCCACTGTGGAGAAAATATATTAAAAGATGTAAAGAGAGAACACAAAGAGATTAGACTGAGTATTGCGAAGCTAGTCCATGTAAGAAATGATGTTGACTTCAACCAGGTTGGTAACTATGAAGCTGAAAAATTTAAACTTATCAGGTAGAAGTGAACATGTAATGGTGCCAGGAAAGAGGAGTCAGGCAAGAGCAGCCCCTCACTTTTGACTGTAAGCAACGTGGTAGCCTGAAATGAGGAATGCTGTCATGGATATGCAGAGTAATGAAATCTGTCCAGCCTTAAACGCCATATTCTTAACCATTATTAATATTTACACTAATTATTACCATGCCAATAAGACATCTGAAATCCATGCCACATCACTGTAAGCTACCTGGAAAGGTTTATAGAGAAATCACATTATCTCTTCTCAGGTAAAAATGAGAAAAAAAAATAAATAAAGGTTTAACAGAGAACTCACTCAGTTAAGCACTTTGGATAGGATTACATGAATGATTCTTCAAACTCTAATTTGAACTTTAATATTTATAATGTTGTGAGGTGAATTTGAAGGAAAAAATACTGAACATATTTTTCCAGAAAGCTAACAGTGAATTTTAGATGATTCAGTTGTACACATTTTTCTATATTTTTATACCTTTATGATTTATTACTTCTGTAAATTTAGTAAATTATTTGGGAAAAAAAAGCAACTTCTAAATTACACCTGTTGGGAGACTGGACTAAAGAAAATGTGTTCTTTTTATTAATTGGAGTACTACTCAGCCATAAAGAATAAAAAACTAAAGACATTTATAGCTAAATGGATGCACATTGAGGCCATACTCTTAAGTGAAATAAATAGGACACATATGTGTAAATATGGAATAGTTTTTCTAATGTAAAAAACTGAAAGTGTAACTAAGGACTAAAAGGTATAATAGATAATGTGAAAGAGGAAGAGAAAGTGCAAAGGGGAAGGGAAAGTAGGAGGGGTAGGGGAAAAACGGGGAATGGGATTAATACGAGAAAAAGAAAAACTGGAAACAAAATCCTTGTAGGTAGGGTTGGAGGGGTTGAAGGGAGGGCAGGGGAATGGGGAATAAATAAGAGCCAAGATGGATTATGTAAAGGTGCAAATTCCCAATAATGAATGTCATCACACTGTATACCTTAAATGTACCAATAAAATTAATTTTTAAAAATTTTAAAAATAAAGTCATAACTGTTGTCTATATAGTCCATAGTTACAAGTTCAAGAAACCCTCAAATCATATCCTTGAGTCAAACCAATTAAAATCCATAATAAAGTCCAATAATCATGGTGTGAGTGGCAGACATCTTAAACTACATGTACTTCTAATTCTGCATATGTGATGCCATCCCAGCCAAGTGGCCTGGAGTTCAAGTTGGGAATCGACGGGTAGTGTGATGAATGTGACGAAGGATGAGAAAGCTGGGGAGTTTAAGGTTTTCTTGAATTTCTTTTTTTTGCAATTTAATTATTATTCCAAATTTCACCATTTTAAAGTTTATTATACTCTTTAGTTCCCCAAACTTCAGATGAGATCATCATAAAAATATTCCTTAAGAACTTTAAGAACTCCTCTGAGCTGCTCCCTTTTCCTTTCTTTCAGGGTCAATGATTGTATCTTACGGGTGAATGAGGTCGATGTGTTGGAGGTTTCCCACAGTAAAGCAGTGGAAGCCCTCAAAGAAGCCGGGTCTTTTGTTCGGCTCTACGTGCGTAGAAGAAGACCCATTTTGGAGACCGTTGTGGAAATCAAGCTGTTCAAAGGTCCTAAAGGTAATAAAAACATAAAGAAGACAGGAGTGGCCAACTGTTGGGCTAATGTCTGTGCCACAACCCACTTACAGTGCATCTTCCTTTGATATTCAGTGCCTAGCATGTGTCCTAGTCACCTTCTGGTTTCTGAAATGCCACATCTGATGCCCCCAGTTTATGGCAGGTTTATTTTGGCTCACAGTTTATAGAAGTTTCAGTCTGTAGCTAGCTGGCTCCGGAGCAGAAGCACATAGTAGCAGAGGCTGCCCACAAGGAAAGCTGCTCACCTCACAGCAGAGAGGAAACTGAGAGTGAAGGTAGGAAACTGGGAGGAAGACATTTGCTTCTGGGTCACGCTCTTACTGATCCGCCTCTTCCGACCAGGCCCCACCTCCTAATGCCACATTTAGCCATTATGTCCCCATCATACAATCGCCTTTCAAGATTCCCACCTTTGAGCTTCTGAGGCTTTTGGGCCAAAATCAAGATATAAACTGTAACAGCAACAAACTGGAAATTCTGCAATAGTGACTTCTACAAAAGGATTTAAAAAAAAAAAAACATTGAATATGAGCTCAGATAAAAACTTAGATTTGGGTTGGAATGTTTTTATAAATAGTAATAGCAACAGCCACTTTCACTCTTTTAGAATTTTTCAATTTATTGGTTTATTATAGCTTGACTAGCACATTAACACTCTCTAATGTTCCGGGTATAAATAGTACATCTTCTCAATTAGCCAAATAATGTAAATAATAAATCTATATATATAACAATTATATTTTTATAGCACGTTTGACTTTTAAAATTTCTGTGATACTTTTATGTGTTGTACCTAACAAGAAGTACTCATTTTGGAAGAGCTTTTATTTTTTTTTTTTTTTTTTTTTTTTTTTTGGTAATGTTCACCAATCTCTAGATGTGTTTCTGGTTATTCTGGGTAATTGCAAAAAAAAAAGTGAGAGGAATTACTATACTATTTTTTTTAAGAATAATCCTTTACAAATTCTTTAGAATGACATTTAATATTAGCCTAATGATGTTTCAAATAGTGTAGAGAATAGTGCTCAGTATTTGAGCATTTTATATTATAGCTGAATAATTATTAGAGTCGGAGTCTCTTCCCTTTACTTTAAAATCTATTTAATCTTTAATAAAAATAAGCATATCACTTTCTTGAGTAGTGGGCAGTTTTAAAGATCTCATGCACAAGAGTCAAAGACTGAGTCTAGAAGCCTGGTTCAGCCATTCACTTGTGGAGATGCCTTGACTGAACCATCCTGTTAAGTGAGGAAAAGAATGGGAAACTGGATAAAGATGTGGTTTTTCTATAAAATGGAGTATTAGCCATAAAGAACAAGAAAATAGATTCATTCACAGGGAAATGGATACATATTGAAGGTATACTCCTAAGTGAAATAAATAAGTCACACGTGTAAATATGGAATAGTTTCTCTGGTGTGAATAAACTGTAATAATACATAAGATCCTAATAAGATTACTGACATTGTGAAATGGGAAGAAAGGGGCTAAAGGTGTAGGGAAGGTGGGATGGGTAGGGGAAGGTAATAAGGGAAAAGGAAAAAATGTGAGATGATGAAAAGATGGAAATAAAGTGCTTGTAGATGGGGAGGGGAGGAGGGGGTGAAGGGAGGGCAGGGACAAGGGAAAAAATGAGAACCAAGACCTGTCATGTAGAGGTACAAGATCCCAACAATGAATGTAACTGTACTGTATCCCTAAAATGCACCAATAAACTCAATTAAAGAAAAAAAAAAGAATGGTGGCATCCGTCCCATATACTCCATGAGGATGAAGCTGCACCCTCATAGCTGGCCCACAGAGAGCAAGCAGAGCCTGGTGGTTAGGAGCACAGAGCCTCCCATGCCAAAGTGTGTAGAATGGAACCCAGGCTTTACAGCTCATGAGCTGATAAACTTTGGGCAAATATTTAACCTCTGTTTCTTTTAGTTTTCTCATCTACAAAAAGGAAATAAAAATAGTACTTTGCTTGCTCTTAGATATGTGATGATTAGATGAGTCAATTCACATTAATTATTTAAATAAATCCTGGCATAAAAAGACTGCCCAACAAATATTAGCTATGTATACAAATTATTCATAATATTATTTATTACATACACTTTTAGCCTTTGTAACAGTATGCAGTAATGTCCTGAAAACACTCAGCCATCTCTCATAAGTTAAATTCAAATATATTAAAAAATTATAGGAATTTCAAAAACAGGAAAAAAATAAAGCATTCTCATACTACAACCTTTAGCAGTCTGATAAAAAGACCTTCTACCCTACACATTTACTAAAATCATTGGCAAGGTGCTTGAAAGCCAAACAAACTGTCCATATATATTATTTCTATTGCAAAGATATGCTATATGTAAATAGTGTGTAACTATCTCTACAATCCAATTAGTAGCAATTATTCAATGTTCCCCTAAGGCAAATACCACTTCTAAGTGCTCGGCACAGTATAACTATCCATCCATTTGTTTCCTGTTCTGAGTCACCCTGTGACCCCCCACTGCTCATCCAAGTGCTTAAAATCTACAGGGAAATGATGACCAAAACTCCTCAATTTTTTCAGGAGCACATTTATTTTTCATCTTTATTTTTGGCACTAGGGTTCCCTCCAGCTCATTTACTTCAGCCCAAACTGTTTTCTTTGAACCTGGAGTGGGGCAGGAATTGCTTTGCAGCATCATCCAGAGGGAAGTGAAAAATGAACATTAATCAAGCAGATAAATGAAGGCAGTAGCCCAGAGAGAGTACATGGTGTCTGGAAGATGAGGCTACACACATGTTTGACCTACTGGTCCAAGGAGAACCAGTAAATTATTAAATCACTTTACATCTTGATGCAGCACTGGCCAAATCTGTACTTGGTCTGTTGGGATTCTGCTGAGTCAGTCGTACTTTTTGTGTTGTCGCTGTCCAAAGATCACTGATGGGGATTTGTTTCTCTGTATAAAGCTTAATGATTTACAAGCAAGATACTTTTCTAGTCATTATTTGAATTCCTGATGCCTTTCCCAATGGCTTAAATGCAGGAAATACAGAATCAGCATAAATTAAACAATAAAATTGGATTCCATAATAAATCTGATCCTACTTTGCTCTCTTAACTTCAGTTAGCACCTCCTGATTCTTTATTTTTGAATTACAATATATGTGAAAGTGAAGAACATCAAGAAACAACGTACACATACTGATTTTCCACAACAAATGCATTTGTTAGGTACTAATTAAAAGAGGAAATGTACTTGAAAGAAATCTCTACCAAAACTTACCTTATATCTTGGAAATTTATTCATTGTGGAAGATGACGATGAATGAAATGTAATCTCTTTCCTCAAAAAGTCATAATGAGAAAGATATATGTAAAACTATGTTACTTTAATGCAAAGAAGAATAAAATCATCTCTATGATGGCGCTTGAACCGTGAATTTAATGGAACAAAGAAGATGTGATTCAGTTTAACCAAAAAGAGCAAAAATTCTCCAGAGAATTTAAAGTGTAATAGGTACATAGAAAGTTCTTGTCTACCTTCCTTTGAGCATATGGTACTCTGTAATAAGCATTAACAATCTAGCCAGTTGATCTAACTAAATTCAGATATATACATTTACTATAAAGCTACCTAGATATATATTTAGTCTGTCAATAATTGAATAAATATTTGTTGAGTGTCCACTACCTTATTGCAAAGCACAGAACTAGAAAATATGAATTTAGAAAGGAATGAGAGATAGTAGTTTCTCTCAAGAAGAAAATAGTCTAATGGAGGAAATACCTGCAATATAAACCGGAAAAAGTTATAAAGTAAGTAAAAGACTGATAAAGGGGACCCAGCTAAATAATAGGTCAAGGGAGACTTCTATAACTACTATGATATAAACTAAGATTTAAAATATAAATTAAAATGAAAATTTAGCCAGATAAAATATTAAGGAGAGTATCTCAGATCAATATAAAAGCATACTTCTACTAAAGTTCTATTACAGAAAAGATCTTGATACCATCAGGACAATGAATAATATGAAATGAAATAGTGAGGTCAGCTGGGATCAGCTAATATCTAGCTTCATTGACTATATTCATAGAATTTCAGTTATTTTTAAGTGCATTTAGATACTATTGTAAAATTTTAAGCCTGAGAAGGATATGATCAAATCTGTTATTTTTAGAATATCATTCTGGCTACTATGAAGAAAATGGATTAGAAAAGGCAAGAGAGAAACTAGAGATCAGTTAGTAGTTACACAGAAGTAGGGGTGAGTAGATTTGAGGATTCTTTGAAACTGTTATTTGTTAGTTTTCTAATTCTGTACCCTGTGATTATTCCATCAGTTGCACAAATTAGTAATTATGGAATAATCTTTGATATTTGTAATTCTGTCTTTATAGCAGTGCTAATCTTCCCAATATTCAGATAAACCAACTGTTTGATGATTTAGTCGTGTACTTCAGTAATATTTGGATAATATGCAAATGTGATCTAGAAAGTCTTTTCATACAACATGCGAAAATTTTCCCTAACCTTATGGTGAGAGAGTCGATCACTGAAAGCAGCTGGGGTGACTAGGTATGGGCAATTTGTTGAGGGGAAATAATGTGCTATCATATACAGAAAGCAATGATTAGGGAAATCCACTTAAGTTTACCATTAGCAACTGAAAATCAGGTAAAGAAAAAAACCAGAAGTTCAAATGGGGATTCCCAAGAAATAGTGTTGCAACATAAGTTTTTCTTGTAACTTTCTCAAAAATGCTATCGTAACTTAGTAAGGAATGTGATTAAATAAATGTCAAACTGTTGGTGTTTGTGGCCTAAGGCAAAGAAAGGTAAAGCTCTATAAATTAGATGGCTTCTTTTAAGATGCTTTAATTACTTAAGACTCATATAAGTGGCTTAAAGGCTTCGTTCTAAAACTAAAAATTCAGTATCATTACTATCCAGAGGTAGACTTGCTTGTGGTTTATTTTAGTCACTTATTAACAAAACTAAAAAAGTAGTGGTCTATCTAGCAACAAATTTCAACAATTGTCCTCCAAATGTTTGAAATGTTTATAAACATTGTCAGCTTTAATTTCTTTATAGATACAGTTGGGTTTGGGATTTTATTTTGTTTTTGTTGTATTTTTCAATTTTGTAGTTATACAGCTTTGTACCAGTGCAAACTAAAGACACAAGATTACAAAATCTGCTTTGTACAGGAAATAGTAACTACAAAATGTACCAAACATATATTATATATATTCCATTACACTAATGGATATGTATAATTTACATAATTCAATCATTAAAGAAGCCTCACGTGAAATGGGAAAGTTTCTGGATATCAGGTAACCATAGGATCCAGAACAACTGCCTGAGTCTTTTGGTGCCTCCTCTCTGAAAAACAGACACAATTTTAATATCAAAATCATCATATCTTAATAAATGTTTATAATATCTTACTCATATTATCATAACCATAACTGACTGATTAATAAAGGAAAGCAGCAGTGAATTCATTCCAGTGCCTCAAAAGTACTTCCCATAGTATTTTATACAATTTATTCCCTTCATCCCTTGCTGGTAATATTTGTTGATTAATTTAAAGCTTTAGATATCTACTAATTTCAGATGGTATCAAAGTATATGAGGTACAATCAGAATATATGGTAATCATTTAAATAAACTGTATTAAAGTAAAACACATTGCCATTAATCCCCATGGCTTCAAACACACATATTTCTGAGGCAATCTAGAAGT